GGGAGAGACGAAATTGCCAACAAAATGCGAGAAAACGAGCCCGTTATTTTTATCTTAGGTACCCGGTCAGCATTGTTCTTCGCAATCCGGGCATTCCTGTCCAGACAGACGACGTAAGGCGAATGCCTACACACCAGGACTTCGAATCGTCGCCACAAGCGCGCTACAACACCTATACACGGTTCACAAACTGATACTGTCCCAAGGATAATTGGAGATCTCGTTACTCCCCACCGGTAACTTCAATTTACGATCGACCGATAATGAGATATCGAGTTCTGGTTCTCCCTCTTTCGCCACGCCGCACACCCACCGTCCCACGCGATCCCCTTCCCGAACCCCTGCTCGACGCCCGTCATACCGTCAAAACTCAAACCGAGAATGCCGGGACGTATTAGATCCCTGTTACGTACTTATTAAGCGTACTTATCTTTTTCCTTCTACTTATCTCCTTTCTTCCATTTTTATCTCCGTCCCCAACGTCTTTTCCCTCTCTGCCTCTCTTACACAGGTCGAAGGCGATCGTGTTACCGCTTCTCCGCCAGAGAATCCTCGAGGCGAGAGTTAGCCTTTGTCACAGCCTTTGACGACTTTGTTCGAAAAAAGGAGAAAGAAACGTACGGCAAGGATAGCCGATGAAAATCATCGATCCAATCACCCTGTATCCCCTGTAATATTCTTTTACGGATCGTTTGAAATGATATACGATGATCGACGGAGCGAATAACGACACCCTCTCTCTCTAGATTCCCACGAAAGCAAAGCCGTGGGCGATCGGTAAGCCAATTAATCTCTTCCAACGAGTAACGCGTGCGATGCGATCCGCGAACTCGCGTTAATCCCCCGAAAAATGCATCACTTGTTCGCGGCATAATGCGTTGGACCGTTGCTCTCGTTGGTCATCGGCCAGCAAATAGTTCGGTTAGCATGGGGTTCGGATATAGACCCCGTGCTGTGAAGTGGCACGCGCCGGAACATCATTAGGCGGGACACTTGCTGGACCAAGGACCATGGGAAGGGTCCCTAGCCTTAATCACGAC